AGAATTCTTTAAAATGATAAACTATTATGTAAATATTAAAATTCATTTAAATAAAGGGCTCTAACTCAAGAACTATTTTTAAATTTTGAATGTCACCGTCTAGTCTTTGTCTGCAGTATAATATTTAAAAAGAGTGTGTTGTTGTTAACTGCTATCCAGTCGGTTCTGACTCATTATGTGACCTTGTATAGGCTTTGAGTCTTCATGGGAGCAGAAAGCCTCATATTTCTCCTGTGGAGCAGCTGGCAGGCTTGAATTGCAGACCTTGTGGTTCGCAGTGTACTGCTTATTGTATGGAGCCACTGCACTCCCCAAAGATAATAACAAACAAACAAAAAGGATGGCAAGAATCTCAGTTGCTGTTCCTCTCCTAATTTCTGGATTGTGCACATACTAAGACTCAGACTGTGTTGGAGTTCAGAGTAAAAGAAAGTAAAATGTCAACTATGTAAGGAGGAGGTTTTGATGTTTTAATATGAGGCTGCAGATTCAGTATCCTTGTAATTTTGAGATTTCCTTTCTGGAAATAATTTTTTATCTCGTCTTTGCAGACCTTGTGTGCACTCATTCGAGGAGTCCATCAGAAGAATAAGTCTACCTCTGGGTTTGACATTATCAACATGCTGATGGGTTTTGATAAAGCAGAACTGTGTATGAAGGTGAGGCATAAGCTACAAATGTGCTTGTGAATGGTTGCTTCTGACAGCTGTTCATGGATACCATTTGCAGACAGATACACTAAAATAATTGAATTCAGATATTGATGATTGGTTTTGATATTGATGTTGAATCTTTTTATTTAGCAGATTTGGCTTATCTGAATAAAGGGAAATTTTCAATTCAAATTTGAATTGAGGCATCGTTTTTCTGCAGTATAAAGACTGAGCAGTGTATTTCACAACTTGTATCATTTGATCATGTAGTCTCAAAAACATTTATGAATTTAAATGCTTTTAATTTGTTGTTGTTGTTGTTGTTAGGTGCCATCGAGTCGGTACCGACCCATAGCGACCTAATGCACAGCAGAACAAAACACTGCCCGATCGTGCGCCAACCTCACTACTGTTGCCACCATTGAGTCCATCCATATTGCCACTTGGCCAATACATCTAGTTGTGGGTCTTCCTCTTTTTCTCTGAC